GCGGGGTCCGGGAGAGGCGGCAACGGAGCCCGGCTCTACCTCGCCTCCCTGGGATGCCCGTAGTGCCGGGGCGACCACTGATGTCAGTCGCACCTGCGGGCCCGCGCCTCCCGCTCCGCTTCCGCCTCTCGCCGGAAGCCCCGCCCCGCCACGTCAGGTTAAGCCCCAGACCCCGGAACCGTCGTCGCCGGCGTTGGTGTAGGCCTCGTTTTAGGAGGGCCGACCCGACTGGATCTGCGATTATTTGGCGTTCACACGACTAGTAGGAAAAATCAATCTCGCACTTGCCTCTTTGTTTTGTTGTTGTTGTTGTTGTTTTTTTAATAACGACTACAGATTAAGAGCCTGGGACGCAGTCTTGAGTGTTTTATACTTTACTGCTCCTCACCTCGCCCTAACTAGGTGGCTGCAAACTGGTCTAGAAAGTTCTGGTAACTTGGCCCTGGCCACAGAACCGCGAAGTGGCTAGCTTGGAACCCAGGTGTACCTAAATCAAGCTGGATCATAAATTGTCCACAGCTATGCTTTCTTTCGTAATGAAATGAAGTGGACCCAAGAGGGACCCTAAGATCTGTTCTAGTGGTGTCTTTAAGCAACGCCCGTGGCTTTACACAAGTCTTATCTCCACTCTGTCTAGGATTACTTATCTAGATGCACTGTAAAGGGACCATAATGGTGGTGCATGTACTTTTTCTCTTATGTCCTTTTCTACAACCCAGGAAGCAAAGGCGCTTAGGGAGGGACTGCTTGTGTCCCAGTTAGGGAAGGCTATAGGAAGGAGGTAGCATCTGCACCTCACGTTGACCTGGAAGAGTCAACATCACATTTGATGGTGGCTCAGAAATGCAACTTAGATTTGGTTACTTATTCTCACTAACAGCTCAGCACAAAAGATGGTTCATAAAGTACAAACCCCTATGCTCTCAAAAAACCCTACTCCACACCCTTATGCAATTCTATTATCACACCTCCCATCCAAATTCTGTAACACATTTATGCTGCATGCCCACTTCTTATTTCATTATAGTCTGATTTCTGGCCCCACTGCCACTTGTAGACTTATTACTCATTTAACAATCACCAAACCCAATGATTGGTCCGTTCTCTTATCTTTCTTGCTACCATTGCACCTGGTACTGCAGCACTTAGTACAAACCTAAGTACCATCATTCATCTTTGTAACCCAATACTAATCAGTTACAGTCAAAAGGTTGATACTAAATATTTGTAAATTCAACAAATATTTTTTGCACACTCTGTATCAGACACTATGCAAAGTGCTGGGGATACAGAGAAAACAGCCCCAACCTCCAGTTCACAACCTAGAAGCACAGTGCCAGCACTCAATCCATGTTTACAGCAACGTCTGAACCATCTTGGTTTCCACAGATGAGGAGTGTCGTTAAATCTGGCCAAAGATAACAACCAGTTAACTATGGACCTCTCAAACTCAAGTCTAGGTTCAGTAGTCTTTCTACTATAGCCTAAGGCTCTCCCATGCTCCCCCAATGTTCCAGGCAGTTTACAGGTAGCAATTCTTTTAATCCTCTCAATAGTCCCATGAGGTAGGTACTACCATCCCCATTTTATAAATGAGGAAACATGCACTGAGAGACTAAGTAATGTGTCCAAAGTTACCTAGCTACTTAAGGGAAAAGCTAGGATTTCAATCCCAGGCATTCTGGCTGTTTACTACACTATGCTGTCTCCTGATAGATTTCTTTCTTTAAAGTGGGAGGGTAAAAAACAGCCCTTTGAAGATATTACCCTTTTAAGTAGAGAAGCAGAACAGTAATGCGGTAGAAGGGCTATGGGAAATGTATTTGGCAAAGTACCCAGAGATCCTTGACTGCCTAGCTGAATATGGTGAAGTTTTTCTCTCAACCATTTTTTCTTACAACCTATGGTAAGAAATAATTCTGTACTGCAACCAAGTACATGCACATAGACACATATACACACACTTTACATAATCTATCTATATTCATGATTATATACTTAAAACATAAGTTGCTTAAAGAATACTTCCCATTCCAAGTGCCATACACTCTGATACAGTCCTGTAAACTGATTTCACGATTCACATTAATGGGTGACAACCTCGTATGAAAAACACTTCAGGCACAGTACCTAAAAGTATTTTAGGCACTGTTCTCTGAAACAACTAGTAGTAAAATATAAAACCAGTGATGTGCTTTGGAAAGATAAAATTAAGCAGCAGCAGCAAAAATGATTTGGAAAAAGACCAGGTAGGAGAACGCAATAATGATACAGGAGAGTGAATGGGAACGAAGAGAACGTTTCAGGAGCTTCTGTTTAAGACAGAAATATTCTGAACTTACTGACTAGATATGCAGAAAGGGAGGGGGCAGAACCAGAGATAATGCTGTGGTTTCCAACTCAAGTGGCTGAGCAGAGGAACTGCCTTTTAAAGGAATGAGAAGTCAGGGGAGGAGGCAAGTACAGTTGACCCTTAAACAATGGGGGTCAGGTTGGGGTTAGGGACCCAACCCCTCTGCAGAGTTGAAAATCTGGGGATAACTCTACAGATGGCCCTCCAGAATCCACGGTTCCACAACCGCAGATTGAAAAAGCCAGGAAGTGTCCTACTGTAGTATGTATTTATTTTTTAAAATAGGCATATAAGAGGACCCCTGCAGTTCAAACCCAGTTGTTCAAGGGTCAACTATACAGAGTGTGTAAGATTATCAGTTATATTTTGTACAAAGAGTGTTGGTAGAATTTGGAGAAAACTGATAGTAGATATCCTGACTATTGCACAGGATTTGAGATTTGAGGCAAACAGAAATGTAGAGGTTAACCCAAGAGGGTGGTTCGAGTCCCCCCCCGCCCCCCCAAAAAAGAGAAAGAAGAGTAGTATACTTATAGGGTTAAGAGAAGAAAAAGGACCCGAAAGGAAAAGAAGTTCCACAAGGAAGTGAATTAAGAGTGGTAGATGCTACTGAGATGGAAAGATGAGGACTGAGAAAACAGCACTGGATTTTCTAATAAGAAAAAGTATCTTGAGTAGTGGTGGGAGAAGCCAGATTCAAGAGTCAAGCAGTGAATGATGGTAAGAAAGTGAAATAAATTCAAGTTTCTGCAGACCCCTCCCCACCTTGTTTCCTCCCAGAAACACTGGTTGGATTTGTCGTCACGGGGCTCTTTCTTTTGGGGGCGCTCTGTGGCCCTCCAGATAGTGATCTGAGAAATTATTAAGTGACGGTTTTCTTAGATAAGTGTCCTTAGCAGTTTCACGCTAAAAACTGCTTGTTGGTCCCTTCTGCGCCGTTAGCGCCCAGTACTATCGCCAGGCTTGTCCCCGCTCGCCGCCGCGCCCCCTGGTCTGGACGTGGGAGGCAAAGGCAGTGAGCATTTCCTGGGCGGTGAGGTGCGCGCCGCGCATTATCAGGCGATGCCCGTCTCCTGGGGAAGGAACAAAGGAGTCAGGCGCCGGGAGGACAGCGGGTCCGAGGGCGCGCGACTCCCGCCTGACTCCCCACTCGACCCACCGAACAGCACGTCCACGCAGGGCTCTGAGCCGTCATGCCTCACGTCCGCAATCACCGAGCAGTTGAGGTTGGTGGAGCGAACCTTCTCGCTGCTCACTGCCTGGAGGAAGGTCCTGCGGTGAGAAAACGGCGTGAGCAGGGGCCAGAGGAGGCCAGACCCCAGGCAGGAGGAAGGCACGGCCCCACTCCCTTCCCCTTCGTACCTCGTCGACTCCACGTTCTTCTCGAAGGGGCAGAATTGAACCCGAACCTGCTTAACAGGGCGGAGTCCCAGCCGAGCCAAGGACGCCGCCATGGTGACCTCCGCCCCGGAAGAACTCGTGCCCGGAAGTGTCGCTTGTGCGACCGGCTGTGAGCGGCGCGCTTTCGCAGGCAGCAGACTTTCGCGGGGAGAGAGTTTGTCGCCGCCGTGGGTGGCGCTGGTTCCCAAACCGCCGCCTTGGGCTCCCCAGCCCGAGAGGAGGAGGAAGGCCAGGAGGGAGAGATGGTTTCCACACAGGGTATGGAGGGGGCCCAAAGTAAGCAGTCAGTAAGTACTGCCTATCATTAATAGTCCTCTTGTACCGCAGTGAAGGCAATAAATCAGTCGTGCAAAAGCCGTTTGCACCTGGCTCCGACACCACGTCTCTTGCAGCCTCTTCCCCTTTGTACCCTGTTGTGCCAGATCTAGGTTAACGCCATCTTAAGTGCTGGTCCCATCTGAGCAGAGGGCACTACCACGGCAGGGATTATATAAGTGCCAGGGGGTAAAGCCTCTCAGGGAAATGAAGATTAAACATGTGGAACTCCGAGTAATCAAAGCTGACACATGAAGGTCCTACAGCTCAATATTCTTAAATGACTAAAAATAGTAATGGGGAGGGGAGCACAGAGTATATATACGGTGGGGCCGATCCAGGGGTAGAAATTCCTTTCCCACTGTCGTGGTTCCTGATGAATTAACTTTGTAATAGTTCCTGACCTTTTTGTGTTTAGCCTGGCTCCTGGGACATAAGAGAAAGTGGCATCTAGGCTCCCTGCTTTCTGTTGTTTTTTCTTTTTCCCTTTCCCCTGGGATCCAACCCTACAGCCTTACGCCCAGCGTCTGGCCCCTGACTACCCGTGTCTAGCCCCGAGACATCTCCACTGATGGGAACTGAGCCCAAGACTTCCAAGGATGCTGACCTCCAGATTCCAAGCTGTGGTTTTGCCTTTTATTCTGGATTCCAGGCACTGCAGTGATGTTGGATTCTTAGCTTTTTAAGTCCAGGCTCTGTGTAGCTTGTGGTTCTCAGGTATGCTTTCTTCCAAGCTCCCAATTAGGCTTTTTTAAAATCTATATATGCATTTCTAAATGTCTGGGCTTTTTCAGATAGAGATGGGGAGCTTATGCTCTCTGGCTTCTGACCAGGCTCCTTAGGATTCAGAACTGGTTCCCAGGCAGGAAAGAAAAGGTAAGTGCCAGCGAGGGTGCTGGTGCTGCCTCAGGGCAAGCCAGGCCTGCTGATTTCCTACCAAGTAAGCCTCAGGGCTAGGTCCTCCTCCCCATCGTGTGCTTAGCAGCTGAGCTGTCTGGGCTCGGGGTGCTCCAGGCTGAAGAGGAGGCTCCAAGCTCTCCAGGCTGTTGAGGCTGCTGCTGGGCAGGTCCGTGTTCAGGATGTCATTACATGCACCTGGTAAGGCAGGAGTGGAAGGCAGGTGTGGCTGGCAGGGAGACACTGAAGCCAGATCAATAATAAGGATGGGGATGTGGCACAGAAAGGGGTGAAGTGAGCCTGGAGTTGGGGAAGGAGAGTGACTCACAGCAACAGGAAGGCCTCCTGTGGACTTGAGTCTTGGGCAAGGGCTGCTGCAATAGACACAGCAGTGCCCCGTCCAGCTGCTGGAAGATGCTGAGCATGAGCAGAGTCTGGCGAAGTTCTGGGGACAGGCCCCACTGCTCCTCCTCCAGCAACTCCCGGACCACTGCAAAGTCTTGTCTGAGCTGCAGCGCCCCCTGCAGGCTGAAGGCCAAGGTACAACGTGGCCACCTGACCCTCCTGCCTCCCCCAAACTGCTCTATCCCCCTCCCTTTTCCCAGTTCCATTCATCCCCCAGCCTCTGCCTCCTTTTCTCCCCACCTGAACCGGATCCCATGGGTGAGAATGTGGTTGAGCCAGGCACCCAGGATGGCAGTCAGCGCTTGGCTGAGGGCAGGGGCCTGGGCTTGAGGTGGCAGTCCTTGCAATCCTTGCAACACAGGCTCCAGTACCCTGCGGACCACCAACCCAGCATACTCACTAGGAATGCTGGGAAGTTCTGGAGTGAGAGAAGAGAAAGGACAGGATATGAAGCTAGGGAGATCCATCAAAGGCCCTAATGGAGCCTTTGGGGTAAGAAGGTAGTATTTGGTGGGGGGTGGGGGCGGGGGTTGCAGAGCACACAGAAGGTGAGGACAAGGATGGACACAGAGGGCTGGAGCCAGGATTTGGAAGGGTTAGGACACTGTTACCCTCCAGGAACCTGGAAGGGGATGCTGGGATGAAGAGTTACCAGGACAGAGACGATGCCGCCAGTACCGACCCCGTGGCATATAGAGTTCGAAGTCCTGTGTGGCTTGTTTATGACATTCTTGAAAAAAGAGACCTAGTGACTCTTCTGGTAGGAGCTGTGGGGATAAGGAGAAAGTAAAAGGGACTTATCTGTGAGGGACTTGTCAAGTAATCTGCTCTTGTAGATCTGAGGTGTTTACCCTGGCATCCATACAGCCCCAGAAACAGAACTGTATGCATAACTGTATGGCTCGGGCATTTTCTGAGGAGAGATGCTATAGCTTTTATTGGGTTTTCCAAAAGATCTGGACCCAGAGAACATTATGGACAATTGCCATAGGATTGCCCAGCTCTCCTCAGCCTGGTTCAGAGGATGGAAATCCTCCAGGTTAATTTTATTCTACAGTAATGTTAATAGGAAAAAAAGAGGGCAACACGCTCACCACCACCAGGGTTCAAAAGTGAATGCTAGGGAGGGAGGTCTACATGATTGGCAGATAGGCAGAGGCTGAAGAAAGAAAAGGGAATTGTACCATCTTCTGCCTGTTGTCTATAAGGGAACTGTGTGTAGACCAGGAGCAGTGACTCTTAACTTTCTGAGACTCAGGAACCTTTGGAATGTCCTCACACTGAAGTCTTTGTAGCCACTTGCATTTCTCCAGAGCAAACTTAACCCGTAAAGCAAGAAAAGGCCCCTGTGCAGGTTTGGTTTCTTTGGTTTGATAGGTTTTCTTTTGGGAGGGGGAGAAGACAGCAAAAAAGAGGAGTCTCTACAGCCCATCTTGGAGAAGAACCTCAGGAAGTGGGGTGTGTAGTGGTAGGCCTAAAGAAAAAGTGACTGCATGCCAAGGAGCCTGAAGAGAGGAAGGGACCTTGGCTTGGGGGGCGGGGTGCCTAGGCAGGGAGAGCCCACGTGGCTCCTGATACATATTCTGACCACAGCCTGTCTACATCCAAACTCTTATCCCCAAAACTACAACCCCCTTCTTCCTTATTTGTGGCACAGAAATCACCCTTTTGTCAACTGACATTTGTTAGGAAATTCTGCACTCAACACTCTGAGGAAAGACAAGGTCACACTGTGGGACCGTCTTTTTCTATGAGACATGACAGTTCAGCTGAGGAGAAAACTCACGTCTAATTCTTCTTTTTCATCCCAGAGCTGTACTCAGTGGAATACCCAGAGGAGACACCCAGCAGTGTGGTCACCAGGCGGAGGGACAAGGCATGAAACTGCTTGGGATAGTGTTTGGTTCACACGGTGCATACACCATCCCTGTCCCTTTTGCTCTGTTCTCATCACAACTACCAAGAGCTGGACCCTTCTCGTATTACATCTCCCCACCTCCCTTTTATCCTGACCACCACTGCTGGATCAGACTCTGTCACTGTCTTCACTGTTCCCCTCCTGCTCTTACAATGGCTCCTATCACTTAAGAGATAAAGTCCAGAATCTGTGGGCTGGTGTTCAGTGCCCTCCACAGTTTGATGACAACCTACTTTTCCACAGTCCTCCACCCCTCCCCTTCACACAGGCATGCGAGGACGAGGGCATGCTCATGTGTATACACACACACACACACACAGCCCTTCTGCTTCAATCAGGCCATCTCCCCACTGCTCCTCCAAGGAACTGTAAACTGCCCACCTCCAGTAACCCCTGCTACTCCTCTGAGGCTGCCCAGCTGCCAGCTTGAGCCATAGGCCCTGTAAGGAGCTTCTGTTTCCACGTGTCCACCATGGCCTTCCCTGCTAAGAGCTCCCACAACCATCGCTGTCCACCCTATTCATGAAGAGCCTGTTCTGGGACATCACTGTCCACCCTATTCATGAAGAGCCTGGAAAGAGGCAGCAGTAAATTGAGGTGGAAATGCCCAACAAGCAGATGCAGATGGTGGGTTAGGGCTAAGCTGAGGGGAGGCAGGGTCCACAGCACCAAGGCACTGTGGAATGCAGAGAGAACAGAAGTGGAGGGACAAGGGCTGAACTCTGCAGCCATGCCCCCACTCAGGGCAATGAGGAGAAATCTATATTCAACTATTGATGTGCACTTAGGATGCTTCCATATCTTGGCAATTATAAATAATATTGCTATTAATAGAAGGGTGTATGTATTTTTTTGAGTAAATTCTTATTTTGTGGTTGGGTTTATTCCTTTGATAACTATGTATGTTTAAAAAGCTAAAGCTCTAAACGTTCTTAGAAACAATGAATGGTACATATATATGTAAATTAAAAGTATATATGCAGTAAAAAAAAAAAGCCTATCAAGCCATGAAAGACACAGAAGAAACTTAAAAGACATATTACTAAATGGAAGAAGCCAGTCTGAAAAGGCTACAAACTGTACGATTCCAACCAAATGACATTCTGGAAAAGGCAAAGCTACAGAAACAATAAAAAGATCGTGGTTTCCAGCGGTTTGGGGAGAGGGAGGGAGGAAGGGATGAACAGATGGAGCACAAGGGATTTTTAAGGCAGTGAAATTATTCTGTATGATACTATAGTGGTGGCTACATGTCATTATGCATTTGTCAAAACCCATAGAATGTACAGCCATCAAGAGTGAACCCTAATGTAAACTATGGACTTTGGTTGATAATAATGTGTCCATGCTGGTTCATTGATATGTACCAAAGACGCCACACTGATGAGGGATGCTGAGTGTAGGGGAGTATATATGTGTGGCTGGGGAGGGCTATGTGCGAACTCTCTGTATTTTCTGCTCAGTTCTGCTGAAACCTGAAACTGTTCTAAAAGAATAAAGTCTATTAAAAATTTTTTTAAAAAAAGGAGAAATCTGAGCAGTAAGCAGGAACAAAAAGCAGAGAGACATCACCCATGGTAGTAACAGATACTGTGTGAAATGGGGACAAATTAAAATAGAAGTATTAAAGGTTTAATTCATAAATTTAGAAGAAAATAAGGAAATGTCAGAAGAAAAAGCCAAAAGTGGATGGAAGTTACCACTGTGGAATCAGGGTCAGAGGTGGGAGCAGGGGCCAATGACAGTGCTACTTTCTTATTAAGAAGCCTTCTAAAATAATATTCTATTTCAATTTGAATAAAAATACAAGTTATACTTTTAGGAAATAGAAGAAACATTATATCAAAAACTAATATGTAAAAGGAAGACAATCATTTACCTTGCTTGTTCTCAACAAAATATGCCTCAAAGTAACCAAGTAATTTATGAGGGCAAGTTTCACTTTATAAGGAGAATCCAGCTAGTAAATGAAGAAGGAATGATAGAATTGTTTTTTTTTAATTTTATTTATTTGGGGGGTAATTAGATCTATTTGTTTTTAGAGGAGGTACTGGGGATTGAACCCAGGACCTTGTGCATGCTAAGCATGTGCTCTACCACTTGAGCTGTACCCTCCTCAGGAATGATGGAATTGGAATGTCACCACTTTGCATCCCCCAGTGAAATAATGGATGTAGACAATGACCATCAATCATCAGTGGCTGTGAACAGCACACAATAAGATTCTACATGGGGGTTGGTGGTAGGATGTAGAAATGAAATGAAACTGACCATGAGCTGTTAAGTGTTAAAGCCTCAGTGGTAGGACTATGGGGTCCATTATACTCTTATCTCTACTTTTGTGTATGTTTGAAATTTTCCATAATAAAAAGCTAAATAGAGAACAAGAAGCAAAGAGCAAGAAAAAGATAAATTTAGCCGTGCTTCCAAGACACTGAGATGTTCCACCATCACCACAACCACCCCACCAGCCCCAAAGCTGGCGACTGTCCCGTCCCCCTGCTCTCCTCACCTGGATCTGTGCAGTCAGCTTCCGGATCTCCAGGCCCAACTGCTGCTCCACCTCCAGGGCCAAGCTTTCCTCTGAAGCCAGGCTAGACAGAGCTTCTGCCTCACGCAATAGAGGCTTTAGCAGAAACAGGGAGTGAGATCAGAGCCCAGCCCAGAATGCTCCCCTCCCCATCCCCTAGCTACTCACAGGTAGGTCCTTCTGGGTCAGGAGCAGGAAGGAACCCGGGGCCCATGCTGCCAGGTGCTTCTGAGTTCTGCTCCAAAACCAGAGCAAGGTGGTCTGCAGGGTACAGAGCCCCAAGGCAAGAGGTGCAGGACCTGGGGAGGAGAGGGATGGAGTATCTGAAGGGCCACAGAACACCTTTGGGAGGAGGCAGGCTTCCGAACACAATGGAGGAATAAAGTGGGTATCCCCAACTGTCCTTCTGTTCCCCCCATCCCCAGCACCTTGTCTCACCTGGAGGCTGCCAGAGGAGCATCCCTGATCTGAGTTCTCGAAGGGCATCTAAGAGAGGAGGGAAGAGCTGTCGCAGAAGTTCAGTGGTACTAGAGGATGAGGGAAGGCTGCTCTGATCTCCACCAGCAGATCCCAAGGCCTGACAGAAGCCTGAAGATGAGGGGGCACGGTTTGATAAGGAAGAGGTGATCTGGGGGTTGGGCTGCTACCAATACCCCTTCCTTCTCACCTTGGTCCCAGCTCCAGAGAAGAGACTGATGAATTAGGTTGTGACACAAAGACACCAGCTCCTTCTCACACTCCTGAGGCAGTGATGCTAGTGGGAGAAATGACCCTGGAGCCTGAAAACAAGGCTTTTCTTTTCCACAACCACTGCCCACTCAATGATGGGGGAAAGGAGAGGCTTCCAAGACCAGCATGGAAAGCAAGACTTTGCCTTGAAAGCCCAGAAACTATAGCTTGAACTGCACCCGCACCCCCAACCCCCGCTGATGGGGGCGGTTGTGGGGAGTTCATCCTGAAGGGCTTGCTTTTGTAGTCAGGCTGACAGGTGAGTGAGCTAAACAGAGGAAAGAGACCCCAGCATTCCCAAACGCCCACCCAGGCCTGTCACTCACCCTGACCCAGTGCCTTTTTCAGCTGTTGTGCCGCTTCCCTGGGGTCCTTCCAGGGTCCTAGATTTAGGTACAGACTCTGCGCACAGGCTGCCCATAGCAGGGTCCAGTACTGGCTCCACAGGGTTCCAGCCCCGCCAAGCCCTAGTCCAGGGCTGACTGGACACGCCACGCCCCCCATCAGGCCCAGTAGCCCTGGCAGCAGCTCGCGCTCCTCGTGGCAACGCCTGCGGAGCTGGTCCCGCAAGCCGGATACCCCGAGCGCCTCATTCAGCCAACCTGCTACCAGGCAACCCCGTTCCCCTGTCAGGAGGCGGAGCACACGGGCCGGGAGAAAAGGGCGCGCGGCCCCTGGGACGTGGCTCAAGGCTTTTCCCTGCAGCTGGTGGTAGGCGGGAAGCGCCAGCAGCAGGTCGGCGAGTTGGGACGACAGGCCCGGGCTCGCGGGCGCCCGGCCCAGAGCCTGAAGCTGCATCTCGATTGTAGCCTCCAGGCGCTGGGCTGCTAGTCCGATGGGGCGCGCCAGGAGTAGCGGCTCGAGGGTCTCCTCAAGGCCGCTTCGCAGGACTGCCCCTC